AGTCAGAGAAACAGGACTACACTGGAAAAACAGGCCAATCTCCAGCATCTACAAAGGTGTTGATGGCAGCACAGCTGATATTTCTCTCCAGGATGGAGTGACTGCCAAATAGGAAGAGACGAGGTGAAGCTACTATGAGAAAAAGCAGAGAGAGCAAAACATTAGAGATTGAACTAACAGATTCTGCAGAGTAGGAGAATAGAGATAGAATGAAGCAGAATGATGAAATGGGGGTCCCTATGTCCTCCAGAAGTCTAAGCCTATAGCAGCATCACTATAGAGATGCTCAGGATAACCTGAGCCACTCTAACTATAAGCTTTATCAAAAAGGAAAGTTTTAAGCCTACCTTTAAAGGTAGATAGGGTGTCTGCCTCACGGACTAAAACTGGTAGCTGGTTCCACAGGAGAAGCCTGATAACTAAAAGATCTGCCTCCCATTGTAATTTTTGAAATTCTAGGAACTGCAGTAAACCTGCAGATTGAGAGGGAAGTGCTCTGTTAGGGACAGAGTTGCTGCTGCTTTTAGAAACAACAGGCAAACCTGTGGCAAGCCGGGTGATGGGAAAGAAGAAGATGCTGGAAGAACTGTGGTGAACTGGTGAAAGAAAAGTGAAGCAGTATGCTCAAAGGTGACCCTGGACATTTAGAGTATGTTTGGCTCAACCTGCTGCTGTGAAGCAGGATTCTCCACCATGAACAGAATCAAAAATAAATATGGATCCAGGCTCAAAATGAGCACCTTGGTATGTGCTTTAGACTGGCTTTGTCTCCATTCATACTCAGGTTTAAAGCCTTGCAGGGCAGCATAAAGCCCACTGCTCTCATTAAGACAGAAAAAAGAACAAACTGTGAGTTCAGGTATTCTTTTTAAATATGTTAATCAGGAAATTGTCTATATACCAAACTGAACAATTGTTGTTCTCTACTTCAAAAAACACACTAGATTTTAAAATGGAAATTTTTTCTATTTTTTTAAAATATAAATTTATATTTTTTTATTTATTTAAAAAGTCTATGTATAACATGGATGCATAAAAACCTCATTTTATTTCAGTGTTAAACTCTGTTTAAAGTAACAGATTATAATTAAAAATGTCTCCGGACCATTACAGGTTGATGATTTGCTTATTAGGACCCTGCTGATTTTTAATTGGTAACCCCTGGCCTAGATTTTTTTTATTTTTTAACAGAAATAAAAACAAAATAATTTTTTTTGTTTCTAATTAATTATTTTCATTTATTGCCAATTGTGTTAGCAGTGCAAAAAACAAAACAAAACAAAACAAAAAACTAACTGACTAACAAACAAACAAAAAAAATGGTGTTTTTTGGCCCTACTTGCTTTCCATACAATGGAGCGCCGCAGGGTGGTGCTCAGAATGGGACGCTGCTCCGGTCTCCGTCAGCTGACGCGCCGGCGCCGCTTCTCCCGCGCCGACATCTTACCTCGAAACCAAGAGGACACCGAGTCCACATTTCACGGTCAATAGCGCCAATAGAGGGGACCCACGGACACTGACGGACGCGGTCTGAGAACATTTTATCTTTCCACAGTGAAGGTGAGGAGGACACGAAGGAAAGAGGACACCGTGTCCGTTTGTTGGTCTCTGCGCTGCAGCGGCGGACTGACCGTACTGCTGCGGTAACGTTAGCTGCTAACCGCTAGCACCGACCTAGATGAAAAAAATCTCACATTTAAGTAAAGTGTGTCTTATCAAACCAGGCCTGTTTTGCTGTGATTTGAAAAAACGGTCAATTTTAGTCTGAAAAACCTCAAAATGTTTTCGGCATAGCTAAACTTAAGCTACCTCAAATAATTTTCGTTAGTGTTTGCATTTTATTGTACTGCATTGTCGTTAGCTTTATGTTTAAAGGGACCGTCAGCTACGTGACTGGGCGGTGACTCCGGCCGCTGTGATTGAGCCCTGAAGGAGAAACTCAGAGCTGGAATAAACAGCGGCTCGGTGCCGCAGTAGGAAACAAAAACAGCCTCGATTTCCCGGGAAGGAGCCAGGAAATGTCCGCAGATCGAGCTGCGGGGTTAGGGTGCTGCATCAGGATCCAACCGCTGCTTCTTAACATGGCCAATTTAGTTAAAATCAGCATTTATATAAATAAATCCCTTCTCCTTATCATTAACACCGTGATTTGATCATTAACTGTTTTACATGACATAAATATGGAAGCAAAAAGGTGCCAGAAAAAGCAGTACTTTGTGTGTCATTCCATAAAAAGGTGAAAAAATACAGTAACACATTTATCCTAGTACAGCATAACATACTCTTTTAAATTTAAAACAAAATGATATATATCGTGTTTCCTATCTTCCTATGCTTTCTTTTCAACAGAAGTCCAATAATTACTAGAAAAATCATGTTAATGTTAGGATAATTATCATTTACGACTAATTTATTAACTGTTTGATTTCCTTTCTTCATAACAAACCTGAAGGGTCATTTACTTTTGCCCTGCTTGTAGATAGTTGGCAGGCATGGTCATTCGGAGGCCCAGTTAAGGAGAACCAGGAGGTTTTTTTTTTTAACTTAAATATATATTTTTCAGGCTGTGTTTGTAACAATCCTTAAATGTTAAAATTTTTCTTCCAGGACAGACTTGCAAAGTCTCAACCTTCATTTTATTTTGTTTAAGATGGGCATCAATCCTTATTTTCCCAGCAGGTGCAGAAGTCCTGGCAAATGAAATCAATAAATTGGCAATTTATATAATTATTTCTTTTTTAGGAATTCTGGGTAAACTCCTGAAAATTTTTGTGGGAAAATTGGAAATTTAAGTTTAAATTCTATATATTGGATCAGGACATGAGATGAATCCTAGAAATGCTAAATAGACAAAAACTGATCAATGGAAAAGAAACGTCTGTAAGCAAGGAAGTGAAAAAAAGGGTTATTTCCATAACATTTGGATGAAACCAATAAATATTAACATTTGCTTCCATTTGATAATCAGCTGGGATTGTGATTGCAGATCTAGTTGTGAATCTCACCATCAGATTTTTAAAATGTGATGTCCTTTAGCAGACCTATAATAATAAACCTGTTCAGTAGCGTAAAATTGATGCAATGTTCACAAAAATTAATACCGGTACTATCGTTGAAGTCTGCTTTGCAACTTATTTATTTCTGCGTAATCATTTTGCTATTTAGATTATCTTTTTACAGGATCTATGTTTGTTTTCCGTGTCCCTAGAAGAAGTGGATTTATTGTGAGGATAGATGTTTCCTGACAGAGAACCTTTGCCATCAAGCAGAAATCTGTTTCTGAACTCTGACAGGAAATGCTTAGAGTCCGATGCCTTTAGATGGACAAATCTTCATTTAAACCAGTCGGAGGGGGCTATTAAGAACTTAAGCAGGGTTGAGTCATACGTTCACAGACTAGTGGAGCAGGTCCATATCGAAAACCTGAAGGACATCAGGACCTTGAGGGTTTCAGTCTAAAGGAAAAGACCTGGTCCAGTTGTTGATATAGAACTCAGGTTTCATGTGATCAGTAATCAGAGGTAATGCCAATGGCCAGTGTGGTCCTCTCTGTTATAAAACAGCAGGGGGCGCTACTGATGCTCAAATGCAGCGTTAATATGTGGTGATGAGGACCTGCCTCCTCTTCCTACAGTGAGACTGCAGAATGATGGACGCTGAGCGAGAGCTGGATGCCCTGTGGTTCCACCTGCAGCCAGAAGGGGGCAGTACTGAGCTGCAGTGACCTCAGCTCTCTTCTCTGGTTTATCTCTGTTTAAAGTTT